TTGTAGAGCAGTACACACACACACACACACACACACACACACACACGTAGTTGAATCTTGAACAACATGGATTTGAACTGAACAGATACACTTTTACATAAATTATTTTTTTAAATTTTTATTTATTTATGATAGTCACAGAGAGAGAGAGAGAGAGAGGCAGAGACACAGGCAGAGGGAGAAGCAGGCTCCACGCACCGGGAGCCCGACGTGGGACCCGATCCCGGGTCTCCAGGATCGCGCCTTGGGCCAAAGGCAGGCGCCAAACCGCTGCGCCACCCAGGGATCCCACATAAATTATTTATAGTACAGTACTGTAACTATACTTCCCTTCTTATTTCCTTAATAACATTTTCTTTTGTCTAACTTACTTTATAAGAATATAATATATAATACATATAAAATATATATTGATTGTTTATATTATTGGTAAGGTTTCTAGTCAACAGTTGACTATTAGTAGTTAAGTTTTTGGGGAGTCAAAAGTTGTATGTAGATTTTAGACTCTGTGGGGCTTGGTGCCCTTAACTCTCATGTTGTTCAAGGGTCAACTTTTTATACTTAATCTATTTTAATCTGTCTTTTGGTATGTGTATTTTGCAGTAAATTTCAAACATGTAAAAGGTTTATAATACTTGGTAGTTAGTATTAAATGTTGTAGTCAATTTATTAGTAACTCAAAAATATTCACTGATGTCTCTATAATTTTTTCAACATTAAGATCCAGACAGAAAATGGATATAAGTAAATTCTAAATGGCAATCATACACTGAAGAATCAGGAGGACATAAATTGATATTGTGATATTTAGAGTGATATTGAAGAAGATATTCAATAGAGGGAAAGGAAGGGAAATTTAGAAAGACAGGAAAATGGGCCAAAGAGGAGGTTCTAAAGTCCCAAATTTGAAATAAAGGAATTTTATTTGTATCTGAGAGAATGATTTTCTGGTGATGGGCTAAAGAGATTGTATCAGCCTTTCACTGTGTCAAGTCTCTATTATGAGCAAGTGTTCTTCTATCTTGGGGTTTTCCCTTGAATCATAAACTAACTAAACCTGGCTTCTCCCTCACAATAGCCCATAGAAATGCTCTTTATCCCACTCACTATAAACTATATGTCTCCAGAAAATTTTGCTTTCTGTCTTCAGCCATATCCAGATCCTTTCACTACTGTCCTTATTTAATGATTCTTTAAAATCCTCTTTTACCAATATAATATTAGATAGATAGTGGTCTGCTGTCTATTGACTGTATCCCCTATTCCTTGTTTCCTGTCTTTCTTTTGTGTTGGTGAGGGTTCTATTCAAGAAAATAAACCATTCTTTCACATAGAAAGGGAGTCCGTACAGATAGCTATGTTTTAGTAAGCATTGGAAAGAGTGATTGAAGCAGTGACAGTTACGGGGCTTCCACTGTCTATTGACCCGAAGACTGTAGGGTTATAGTTGTGATTCAGAGAGCACAAAGATGCACCTGCTGCTACCATTATAGCTGAACTGCTTTATACCCATGAGGCAACAGCCAGACACTTCTAACAGCTCTGCTCTTGCTTGCCAGTAATCCTACCAGCAAAAAGATGGCTTTTGTCCTATTTCTGTCTTCTAAATGTCATGTAAATGTTTCCCAATGGATTGAATCCAGTCACATTCAGAATAGCAGCTGTGTCTTGGAAATGTAATTTTTAGTTTTTTCCTCTTCTGATACATAAAAGGTTACATATAAATTGCTGGGAATTGAAGACAAGCAGCAATAAAGTATATTGAATACACTCCTCATGTCTTTGTGGATTTTGTTGTTGTTGTCCAGCTTTGGTTATATAGTCCATTTTTATAATCTTTTTCTTGTATACCCTCATGGACCATGTCCATACTCAGTGCTCGGAAACCTTGATTTGACTTGATGGCCCACTAAAATAAAATATAGATGATAAGTTCAATAACTGATTCAGCAAATGATTTCTTAAAAGGCACTATAGTGCCCCTTTCAGTGCTCATGTACCCCTCCTCATGCAGAAACAGTTTAAAGTCAGTTCTGGGTTCTGTGATCTGGTAGATATTTCAGTCTACCTTGGCTGTTGAGACTTCCAAAATTTGGGTATGCCTATATAAGAAAGAAGGGAACTGCCAGGAAGTCACTTATACCACATTTTCTTCATTTCTGTGTATTGTTTTATTTGCTTGTTTACACATTTGATAATAATACAAAGTAGGAGTATACTTAGCCAAGTCTGAGCTGTCATTATATACAATTTGTAAACTTGCATCAGCCTTTGTAGTATAACTTAGCTTATATATAACCAAATTCCTTGAATAGCTCCTCTTCTCCATCTATCTTTCTGCCATTCTTCCCTGGCAATACGGGGATCCTGGTTGAACTCAGTCCTCTCATTTATTCTGCTCTTGCCTACATCATGTCTGCTCAGTATCTCTACTTAGAAATTGTTATAGGTCGAATTCTAAGGATGTGCCCCTCAAGATTAGTATTTAATCAAATACTAATGTAGATACTGCTGCAAAAGGACTTTTTAGATGTTATTGAGATATAGATCTTTATAGAGAGCTTATCCTGGAACATTTTGGTAGGCTCAATCTAATCATGTGAGCTCTTAAAAGTATATATATTTCTTTGAGTATGGTCAGAGATGTGGAGAAGAGTGAGGCAGAAGAGATGTATAGGAGAGATTAATGAACCTTGTAACATTCTTCTCTAGAGTCTCCAAAAAGGAATGCAGCTCTGCCAATAACCTTGACTTCAGACTTGTGAGACTCCAAGCAGAGAAAGTAGTTGAGCCCTGCTATTTCATGGACTTCTGGTTCATAGAAATGTAAGATTATGCATTTGTATTAAGATGCTAAATTTGTGGTAATAGTGTTATTCCAGTAATATAAAATCATACAGAATTTAAAGATGTCAAATTTAACATATTCAGTGCAGAAGTATGATATTCCAAGCCTTTACCATGTTGAGTCTTCTCCAGTCTTACCTCTCTCACTAAATGACACCATTATTCACATGCTTGCTTGGACCCAGAATATAATTATTTCTGGATTATTACTTTTCCTTTAAAACCCAGGTCCAGATTAAGTACTTTGAATATTTTTAAGCTGTTTCTATGTCTGACCATTAACCTGTTTCTGTGTCTGCCCGCTTCTCCCCTTCTCGATTTAATCAAACTTGATTCCACTCTAGTCAAGCCCCCACCTTTCACCAGGATTCTTTAAATAGCCTCTATTCTTGTTCGCTCTATGGTGTGGTACTCATAGAGCAGCCAGAGGGATGAAGTTTTGAAAATGTTAATTAGATAATGTTATTCTTTTATTTAAAGCTCTAATGACTTCAGATACATTTAGAATAAAATTTAAATCCTAGGTCATTTATGATGTAGTCTGTCTCTGCCTTCTTGGTATTTTTTCACTTCAACTCTCCTCCTTTCTCACTAAGTGTGAGTCACATTGACATTCTCCTGGTGCTCTTGCAAAAAACATTCACTGCTATTTCAGACCTTTCTATGGTGGATCCTTTCTCCCTTCAATACTCTTTTTTTTAGATCTCTGAATACTTTACTTCTTAACACTCTTCAAGCCTTTGCTTAAATACTGCTTTATCAGAGAGGTTTTTTCTTATTATCTCAATGTTTTATTTGTTATAAAACAAATCTCTCTTTACCTTTCTCTATTTTTCAGAGCACTTCTCTCTTCTTACATATATGTGTGTTAACTTTTTTTTTTTTTTGGTAATACTACAGTGGAAGCTCCATGAAGGTAGTGACTTTGACTGCCTTCCTTATTGCTAATTCCTCAACTACTGAAACATATTCTGTATCATAGTAGATTCTCAATAACTATCTATGGGATTAAAGATAATATTAAGCACATATAAACAAATTTATGCTTACATTAGATATCTTCGAGAAATTTTGATTCATGTGTCTGGTGACCATGTGAGTAGTTGTGGCCTGGAAGGAAAATGGAGTTTTATACTTTAACAGTCAAAAATGTATGAAAGATATAGCTCTCAGGATATAATAAGGCCATTTCCAAAATACTTTTTAAAATCTTTCTTTTCTTTCTTTCTTTCTTTCTTTCTTTCTTTCTTTCTTTCTTTCTTTCTTTCTTCTTTCTTTCTTTCTTTCTTTCTTTCTTTCTTTCTTTCTTTCTTTCTTTCTTCTTTTCTTCTTTCTTTTTTTTCTTTTTTCTTCTTTTCTTTTTTTCTTCTTTCTTCCTTTCTTTGAGTTCAATTTGCCAACATATAGCATAACACTAGGTGCTTATCCCGCCAAGTGCCCCCCTCCCCAGTTACCCCAACCCCCAGCCCACCTCCTTTTCCACTACCCCTTGTTCGTTACTTTTGATTAAAACCTTAATAGTTGGAAGCAAAGGAAGCTTTTTGGAGTCTCAGCCATCAGCCTTTTATTATTAATGTCTGAAATCATCATCTATCTCTTCCTTAGCTTGGAAAATGAGTTTTCATGTCAAATTCCAAGACTTGTGCCCCATATTTAATTTAAATTTTTTTGATTTGCTAGAGAGACATTTTTATTCTGGAATTGAGTGGATTAATGTGAAAGCTTTTTTATAATTAATGATCAGGTGGTACTTAGGAATATTTCAGGGGAATGCTGTGGGGAGACCTAAGATTATTTAATTTAAATATGTATTAGCATGTTATTTTGTGTTTTGTAGTTGTATGGTGGATTGTGGTCAAGGGGGCCTATTTTCCAGTTCTATCACCCTAAGTATAAGTCTAGATATCTTACTGTATTTTTCCCTAATTATGTGCTTCACTTCATGTTATAAGGCCAGGCTTCTGACAGCACTAATTTTCACTGGGGTGGAAAATGGGGGGATAAACTGTTGGCACTCATGATAACACTGGTGGTTTCATATTATGGCTCAACTTTTTATTTTCACTTTGTTGTCATATTTGTGTGGATTGTTTTGTAGTTTCTTTTTAAAATTATTCATCCCCAAATCTCAGAGCTTATGGAATATCTCATTTTCATCCAAAAAATGAAATAAGTTTATCTAAAAAGTTCTGCTGACTTGTCTTTTGGGCAGTTGAAGTGATGGTTGTCTTCTGGGCAGTCGAAGCAGTGGTTGTCTTTTGGGCAGTCGAAGCAGTGGTTGTCTTCTGGGCAGTCGAAGCAGTGGTTGTCTTCTGGGCAGTCGAAGCAGTAGTTGTGGGGATGGTGGAGTCTGTTTGGGTGGTAGTGGCATCTGTTGTGGTTGTAATGGAGCCTGTTGTAGTTTGTATTTGGGGTACAGGAATAAAGGGAATATGTGGGATGAATGGAGATCCAGGCAGATAAGGCCTTGGTTGGAAAGGTAGATATGAATAACCTGGGCCATAAGGTGGAGGAGGAGGTGGAATTCTTCCGGGGCCATAGGGTGGAAGAGGAGGTGGAATTCTTCCAGGGCCATAAGGTGGAGGAGGGGGTGGAATTCTTCCAGGGCCATAAGGTGGAGGAGGGGGTGGAATTCTTCCAGGGCCATAAGGTGGAGGAGGGGGTGGAACAAATCCTAGACCAAAAGGAGGAGGAGGCGGCAGTGGCCTAGAAGGATATTGTCTCCTGGGACCACTGTGACTCTCAGTGGGCTGTGGGAAAACAGAAGTGAACAATTTTTAATCGGGTATTTCAACGTCAAGCGAATGTCTACTGTCTGTGGCAGGCAGAATGCTAAGGCTGCTCCCAGGATTCCTGCTCCCTACTGGCACATACTGGCATGACCACACTGGGTGAGTTCTTTTGAAATAGGTTCTACAGGTCAGACACAGATGTCAGAGAGATTTGAAGCTGCAGCATGTGCTCTTCTATTAGCTTTAAAGCAAAGAAACGTGGAGAAGACTACATGGAAGTAAATGGAGCTAGGAGTGGCCCCATGCTTATAGCCCACATTTAGAAAGTGGAGACCCCAGTCCTTTAAACAAGGGGCTGAATTCTGCCAACAGCCATGCAAATTTGAAAAGAAAACCCTAAGCTGCAGGAAAGAATATAGTTCTGACAGTACCTTTTTAGCCCTTTGGGACCCTGAACAGAGAATCCAACCAAGCCAAGGCCAGGGTCTGACCAAAGAAACTGTGAGATAATAAATGAATTTTTTAAAGCTACTAGTTTGTGGTAATTTGTTATATAGCAATAGAAAACTATTATATATGTATCTAAGTTCTTCAATACAGACTTTCAGACTGTGAAAAGTGAGAATTTCTCTTTCACCCGCTAAATGCTTTGGCTCTCAAATGAAAGCCGAGATAGTATTGATGGGAAAAAAAATTGTAGGTAAAATCCTATTCTGTGCTTTTGGTAGAGCCTGTCATTGGAATTAATTCCAAATGGGGAAACTATCTCTTATATATCTTATTCAAGAGTTCAGGATTGTTTCAGGCTTTGAGCACAAAAACTGTGAAACATGTTATTGAGCATCTATTTTGTGCCATACGCTAAAGTAGGAGCTGTGGGCATGCAAAAATGCTTCTTGTGAGTCTATAGACTAAGCAGCTACAGTACAAGGCAGTACAAAGTGGCCCAAACAGAAGCAGAATGATAGCAGAATGACAGAGCTTAATGCCTCTGCTACTTAGAGACTGTGTGATGTGGAATCCTTTTTGAGACTTTCTTCATCTGAAAAATGATGTTCATATAAGTACCTACCTTTTTTTTTAAAGAAATGGTAGTCATGTTTATTTCTGGGTGTTAAGATTAAGTATAATTTTAATTTTGTTTCAATGGCTTTGTAAAGTTTTGAAACCTTTTTATAGTTTATAATGAGAATCCCCCCTACCCATGGTTTTTAATGAAGAAAATTCCAAAGATGCAGTACCCCACCCCTGCCGCCTGAAAGTTTGAGACAATTTTTGAGGTTGTCTGAAATTTCAGGTGGGTCAGGTGTCTCAGATTCAAGTCAAGATTTATTGTGAAACACTACCTATAAAGTGCTTAGGGTACTGGTTAGCTCAGGTATTGTGCTCAATAAATGTTATATGCTACTATTTGTTATGTTAACACCTAGTATAGTGGTTACAATTTTTGAAAAGTGGATTTTGGAAATGAAAATAGTTGGAAAATAGTGAAGGAAACAAATACATTAGAAATTTAGAGTGATTATTTTTGGATAGAGGAAAGACTAAGGATCATGTAATTGGGAAGACAGACTTTGTAAGGAAGCTGAAATAAGGTAGAACAGGGAGAAGAATGGGGGGAAACTCAGCCAGTGCTGTAGGGATGAAAGCACAAGTCCTGCTCTCCTGAGGGTTTATTCAGGACACATGTCTGCGTTTCTTTCTTGCTGTCCCCCATCTTTTGTTTGTTTATTTGGCACTTTGTCCTTGCAAAACCTAAACCTTATGATTACATCTTCTAAATCATCTGTCTCCCCGATTCCTAATTCCAGGTTTTTGAACAATGGTAGCAGATGTACCATCACAAACTTATGGTCCCTTAGCACTGCCCTGCAATCTTTTCAAGTGTCTTAAGGTTGACTAACCCTTATTTGCAGAGGCCTATAATTTTCCACATTTATGCCAATTTTATTAAAGTTCTCTGCCTCTAAAAAGAAAAAAAAAAAAGGTTCTTTACCTGCTGCTGAGCCCTCAGCCACCCCACCAGTATAACTTTCCTCCTACTCCAAAACGATGCAAGCAATTAGAAACAAACTTCATTTTCTCATGTGCATGTTGGCCATGTCTGTGTCTTCTTCTGTGAGATTTCTCTTCATGTCTTTTGCCCATTTCATGATTGGATTGTTTGTTTCTTTGATGTTGAGTTTAATAAGTTCTTTATAGATTTTGGAAACTAGCCCTTTATCTGACATGTCATTTGCAAATATCTTCTCCCATTCTGTAGGTTGTCTTTGAGTTTTGTTGACTGTATCCTTTGCTGTGCAAAAGATTCTTATCTTGATGAAGTCCCAATAGTTCATTTTTGCTTTTGTTTCTTTTGCCTTCATGGATGTATCTTGCAAGAAGTTACTGTGGCCAAGTTCAAAAAGGGTGTTGCCTGTGTTCTCCTCTAGGATTTTTTTTTTAATTTTTATTTATTTATGATAGAGAGAGAGAGAGAGAGAGAGAGAGAGAGAGAGAGAGAGAGAAGAGAGAGGCAGAGACACAGGCAGAGGGAGAAGCAGGCTCCATGCACCGGGAGCCTGACGTGGGATTCGATCCAGGGTCCCCAGGATCGCGCCCCGGGCCAAAGGCAGGCGCTAAACCGCTGCGCCACCCCTCCTCTAGGATTTTGATGGAATCTTGTCTCACATTTAGATCACTTGCCATCAGGGAAATACAAATCGAAACCACAATGAGATCCCACCTCACACCAGTGAGAATGGGGAAAATTAACAAGGCAGGAAACAACAAATGTTGGAGAGGATGCGGAGAAAAGGGGAACCCTCTTACACTGTTGGTGGGAATGTGAACTGGTGCAGCCACTCTGGAAAACTGTGTGGAGGTTCCTCGAAGAGTTAAAAACAGACCTGCCCTACGACCCAGCAATTGCACTGCTGGGGATTTACCCCAAAGATACAGATGCAATGAAACGCCGGGACACCTGCACCCCGATGTTTCTAGCAGCAATGTCCACAATAGCCAAACTGTGGAAGGAGCCTCGGTGTCCATCGAAAGATGATGGATAAAGAAGATGTGGTCTATGTACACAATGGAATATTCCTCAGCCATTAGAAATGACAAATACCCACCATTTGCTTCAACGTGGATGGAACTGGAGGGTATTATGCTGAGTGAAATAAGTCAATTGGTGAAGGACAAACAGTGTATGTTCTCATTCATTTGGGGAATATAAATAATAGTGAAAGGGAATATAAGGGAAGGGAGAAGAAATGTGTGGGAAATATCAGAAAGGGAGACAGAACATAAAGACTCCTAACTCTGGGAAACGAACTAGGGGTGGTGGAAGGGGGGAGGGCGGGGGTGGGGGGTGAATGGGTGACGGGCACTGAGGGGGACACTTGATGGGATGAGCACTGGGTGTTATTCTGTAGGTAAATTGAACACCAATAAAAAATTAATTTATTAAAAAAAAAGAAACAAACTTCATTACTTTACTGGCCACACACCACAAAGTCATTAAAAATCTACATATTTCCTTTTCTTTTAGAACTATTCCCTCAGAGCTCTGTCACTTTTCCCTTTCCCCTTGCACTTCAATATTTGGCTTTTAACTGGCTTGTTTTCTTTAGAAAACAATCATCATTTATGTTCAATTTACTTTTTAAAAAAGACTCCACTTTCAACCGGGAACTCGTGTTGCTATTACTCTCTTTTCACCACTTTCCTTTATAGCAAAGCTATGTATTTGCAGCTAATTTCCTGTATTACTTGGTTTATGAACAATCCAGCTAAGACATAGATACCTTGAACCTAAATTTATTTATATTTTAATAAGATTAATAGTAGTCCCTTTATTAGATTTGTTTTGAGGATTAAGTGGGTTAATGTCTATAAAGCATTTGGAAAATTACCTTTAACAGAATGAAGACTCAATGTTCTACTTACCCTCTCATAAACAAATGATATTCTATTCTACCCTTGTGTTTCTATATTTCAGTAGTTATTAATCATCGTGAATTTCATACAATTAAGTTGTTGAAAAGCCTATTTCTATTTAAACTGCTTATGCTGTGAGAGTGAGGAGACATCTTGATGACCTGTGTGGCTCCCTTTCTTCTCCCTTTCAGAATGGGGCAAGGAGAAGATCAGCAGGTCTGTTAGATCAGGAAAGAACAGACTGATACTAGAGCTGAGTCCCAAAGACAACCTCATCTTTTGAAGATAACTTTTATCTGATTAAGGAAATTTCCTTCAATCCTGTTTGCTAAGAGAGTTTTAAAAATGAACCTTAAATTTTATTAAACAGTTTTTATATAATAAAAATAAACTGCTTATGCTAAATTTCTTATATTATTGGAACTCTAAGGTTTATTTTTCAAAAAAACCCAAACATTGTTTAGATAATCAAAGCCTGATCCTTTAAAATAAAGTGTTTCTTTTATATACTGAGACATATATTGAAAATCAGCTTTAAGATCGCATCAGTAAGACATAACCTTTTAAATATATTTAATTGGTTTATCAAAAATTATGTCACATCTATAATGCACGTAGAAGTAATATGGTCAAGCTCAGACTGCCTGAATTATCTATTTAATTACCAGCTTTTATTCAAGTTTCTGAGAGTAGATGGGAGAAGAAGCACTGTTTCATGTTTCAGAATGATATAAATTTACATTGCCTGTTTTGTAGGAGTTGTAGTCTTCTGAAAAAATAAGTTTTTTCCCTTCCATTTGATTTTTGATTTTTAATAGATTTTACAGTTCCTTGGTAGGAATAACAGGGGTAGGTTAATTTCAGTTTGAGAAGAGATTAATTCCATAGTTATAGTTATTAATTATGATTAATTTTCATTCTAATGCTTAAAAAAAGCCCAGAAACCTGTGGCTTTTTTTTTTTAAACCTGTGGCTTTTTTAAATCTCTTGCAACTTTGAATATTTAGGAGCTTCTGTGTTGCTTAACTCAATCCTTTATACATTATAGGTGTTAACATAAATGTTAACTCCTGAGTCCATGGCAAAATGTATATTCCCTCCTCTAAGACACCCTTATTCATTCTGGGTTGAGACCCAGAGTACTATATTTGAATAAGTGATACACGAACCCTATGTGGAGAAAAACTTTATTTTGAGTATCTCATTTTATAGATAAGGAAAAAGTCCTAGTGATATTAAAAAACATATTCAAGGATATTCATATAGTGTCTTTAAGTATATTGGATCAAAAATTTGAAATAAACTTGTCTACTTGTGAAATTATTAATATATGAGGACCCGCATCTATACACATCTGTATAATGCAGTCTGATATCATGGATCTAAATTGTCCAGTGGCTCAGTCGGTTAAATGTCCAACTCTTGATTTTGACTCAGGTCATGATCTCAGGGTTATGAAATGGAACCCTGCTCAGCATTAAATCTGTTTGAGATTCTCCCTCTCCCTCTCCTTTTGCCCTTTCCCCCACTCATTCTCTTTCTCTGTAAATAAATAAAAAAATAAATAAATAAATAAATAAATAAATAAATAAAATATTAATAAAAATGTCCAGTATGGTAGCTCTAAGCCATGTGTGCCTATTTAAATTAAATTAGACTTTAAATTTAAAGCACTAGAACTGTGTTTCATCAATGATTGATAGCTACTAATATATAAGAAAGGGTAACATTAAAACATGTAAAAAAGAAATCTGAATTAAAATTTGTGAGAAAAAATGTGAAAACATGATTGATGAGACTTACCAAGAAACATGTTGCAAGAGCCAAAAGGCCCATGATCAGGCATAGTGGTTTCATTCTTACTATTACCCCTGAAAGTAAGCACAATGAATGGCTGATCAGCATTCCTTTAAAGAAAAAAAAATATTATTTGGAATGTATTCCAACTCTGCTTATGACCTAGTACAGGAGTAGTACTGTAGCATTTTAAGAAATCTGCCTAGTGTTATTTTGGAGCAATATTGGTAGGCTTATAACATTTAACTATAAAATGGTGGAATTAGTTTTCACTTTTGACTTGTAAATGAACACTGGAGGTAATGTCAAAAGGTTGTTCTTAAAGTGTTTTACTCAGTGGAAGCTTTGATGACTAAAGTTTTTGCTTTCAGAAGTAACCACTTTGAAATGGTACCTTTTTGTATTTGAACATCTTGGTATTATTACATAGTGGTTGCATTACTTTATAGATTTCTGCAGGCTTATGTTTGAGGTATTAATGTTTTAACTAGATCATATGTTTTTAATTTAATTTCTTGGGGCATCTCAAAAATAAGGAAAGGAAAAGAAGCACCCGGTTGGATGTAGTCTAAAGAAAAATTATCACATAATATATATCCTAGTTCTAACAATAATCCAAGTTATTTTAGTCTATGATGAGCAGTTTCTAATTCTAAAAATTCATATATGATACATCAAAGATCAGGGAAGAGAAAAGAGAGGTGTCTAAGTATTTTACTCTCAATAGGTCTTAAATTTACAATATATTTCAAGTATATGCTAGCCTGAGTTCTGGGAAAGTGACTCAATGCACCTTTATGCAGACTGGTTTTCTGACAAGTTCTGACCATTGGTTAAATGTGTTGGTTGAACAGTCCTAATCTTGAAAGAATCCTAGGGACAAAATTTCAGTGAATATTTTATTAGATGTGCATATGGTCATTTCTTTAAGCATCCCTTTTCCTATGACACATTTTTATAAAAAGTTAAAAAAAAAGCAAAACCAATAATAAAAATATACTGTAGAATATAGTTCTTTCAGAGTTATATCTGTGTTGGTAGTCCAGCCAATATGAAGTTCAAAAGCATTAAGGGAAAAGTAATTGGATGGATTTATTGTTCCAAGTGCCCAGCATTTACTCTGACATACAGAATTTCCTAAAATTTCTTAAAATTCAATGCATATTATGACTTACCAAATTTCATGTAAGGTATATATTATTCCTTTGGTGAAAATGAATGTTCTATAAAAAGCCCATGAAGATGGCATCTCTGAAAGTCTGAGAACAATTTGATATTCACAGTAAGAGTTCTTCAGTTCATATTCCATGTACCTACCGTTGTGTGAGAGAATTCTTGGGGCTGATTATTCCACTGGTCACAATGACTCCTGCCAATTAGGTGACAAATGCAGGAGGGAAAGGAGCAAGAAATCTCAACTCTTATATATACTGGAGTGGATGTCTGTGATAATAAAGGTAAGACTAAGTTGGAAGATAAAATAACTTGTGGGTTGCTGTTCTTAAAACAAAAGACGGGAAAGTTGTTGTTGCCAGTTTTGCAATCTTTTTTCTGCATGTTTTTTTTTCATTTCAGAGGAGCTTTGACCCATTCAATATTTGGTGTTTTTTGAGGAAACATATCACACAAAGAGTCATAATGTCTTTTTGTCTTAATAAAATAACCTAGAGCTTATGGTGCACCATTGCCTCTGTTTTAAAGAACAAGCATAAGCTGTTTTATTTCAAGTAATTTTAATGGGTCAGTTTTTGTTATGTGTTACTATCACCATATTTCCAATTTTATCTAAAAGCTAGCTGCATTATGTGGGAAATTTAAAAAATCACATTGTTTTAAAATTTAACTCAGTAAAAAGTCTAGAGACTTTGTTGGGAAAAACCTAGAATTATTATTTTTCTATTTCTTTTTATATTATTTAGTAAATTTTTAAAAGGACATTTCATCTAAGTAGATAATTTTTTTTTTGCTGTAAGGTTGTTCATAATATCCTTTATTAAAATTCCAATTAGTTAATGTATAGTGTAATATTACTTTAAGGTGTAGAATTCAGTGATTCATCATGTATATACAACATCCACAAGTACCCTTCTTAATACCCATCACCCATTTAGCCCATTTCCCACCCACCTCTCTCTATCAACCCTCAGTTTGTTCTCTGTAGTTAAGATTCTTTTATGGTTTGCTTCTCTTTCTCTTTTTCCCTTCTCTTTTTTTTTCCTCTCCCTCCCTCTATGTTCATCTCTTTTATTTCTTAAATTTCACATATAAGTGAAATCATGTGGTATTTGTCTTTCTCTGACTGACTTGTTTCGCCTATCATAATATACTCTAGCTCCATCCATGTCGTTGCAAATAACACACCTAGAATTAAAATTAGAGGCCATTACTAAATAGATTTTGCTAAATATCACATACTTAGTATTGTGGCCAGTTATGAACAGGGTACGTCAAATATATTGCTTGATTGTTTGGACCACTGTGCTATATCTTGTGGGTTTCTATTTTCTCTTTCAACTGAAATAATGAAATTGTATTACTCCTTTATACTTGGGCATTTTCACATATCTGGTCCTATATATTATTTCTTCCATTTAGAGAACATTGGCTTAGTTTAGTAAATGTTTTCGAAAGATGACAAAAATGAATTCCAGGGTAAAGATTTGATCTGAGATTTGAAAATAGCAAGAAAAAAAATATCTAGTGGTAGCCAAGATTCATGCAGTTTTTCAACCTTAACTGTGTCTGTAATTATTGCAAGATATTTATTTGAAAGATCCTTAAATGGACATTTTTAAGGATGTTTCCTTTTGCTAATGAAGAATTTAAACAGTAGTCTGATATTGTATTTTAAAAAGTTACATTGGTGGGGCACTTGGGTGGTTCAGTCAAACATCTGCCTTTGGCTCAGGTTATGATCATAGGGTCCTGGGATTGGGCCCTACATTGGGCTCCCCACTTGTCAGGGAATCTGCTTCTCCCTCTGCCTTCCCCCCCACCCCCACTTGTGCTCTCTCACTGAAATAAATAAATAAAATCTTAAAATTAATTTACATTGGTGCTTGCTATTAACTTGAGAAATTTAAAGTTTTTGATTATTGGGAAATTAAACATATTTTTATTTTGAGGTGGTTATCTACATTAAAGTTACAGCTTTGGGCAACCCTTTCAGGACTTGTACTATCACTTTACTATCATTCAGTAAATTTTGTAAAAAAAAAAAAAGAAATCCACAGCTTTACATTATTTATAAACTCGGGCTTTAAGAAAAATTTTTCATATTTTAGGTCATAATACAATTTGTCCTTTTTTTAATTAATTGTTACATGATAATATTATGGCTCTTATTTGTTAAGCCTTTACCATAGAGCATATGACAGGATGAAATGAGTAGTCATCATCTTTGTTTTACACATGGATGCTAATGAATCAACCTCTGCTCACTTCAGGTCTGAATACTGAGTTAACCAGTATTCGATGTTGCCTTCCAAATCTAAATAACCTTCATATACATAACTAACATTATATGTTATAGTATGCTGCAGAGATTAATCAAGGGAAATTATGGTCAGGTCATTTTACTTCAAAGCCCAGTACCAGATTTACTTGCTGGATAATATTGGACAAGTTATTTTACCTTATCGTGCCTCAATTCCTTAATTTGTAAGATGTGAATATTTCTAATTTTCATGTCACAGAGTTTAGTTATTCCTTTATTAATTCATCTACTCATTCAACATTTATTGAATACCTGTTGGGTGTAAGACATAATGCTAGTTGTTAAAGTCACAGAATATTTAAATGTTTAGTGTTTTAAAAATCTTTAGGTAGTCAAAAAATCTCTTTGAAGTCATAGATGGTGTAGGAACAAAGAAGCCCCACTTTGAGAGTTGATCTTAGTTATAAGTTTTTGTGCTTAATTTCATTGTCTTAAATTTTTTTTTGTACTAGATAGGTAGATTTTATTTCACACATCAAATAATTTTTATTTTTTTTAATTTTTTTAATTTTTTATTTATTTATGATAGTCACAGAGAGAGAGAGAGAGAGAGAGAGAGAGAGAGAGAGAGGCAGAGACACAGGCAGAGGGAGAAGCAGGCTCCATGCACCGGGAGCCCAATGTGGGATTCGATCCCGGGTCTCCAGGATCGCGCCGTGGGCCAAAGACAGGCGCCAAACTGCTGCGCCACCCAGGGATCCCCAAATAATTTTTAAAATGTATATATTGTTGAAGATAATTGACATATAGCCTTGTATTAGCTTCAAATGCACAACAGAATGATTCAGGATAATTTTTTTTGGATTTTGTTATTGGGGTTCGATTTGCCAACATATAGTATAACACCCAGTGCTCATCCCATCAAGTGCCCCCCTCAATGCCCGTCACCCAGTCACCCCATCCCCCATCCACCTCCCCTTCCACTACTCCTGTTTGTTTCCCAGAGTTAAGGGTCTCTCATGTTCTGTCATCCTCACTGATTTTTCCCACTCATTTTCTCTCCTTTCCCCTTTATTCCCTTTCACTATTTTTTATATTCCCCAAATGAATGAGACTATATAATGTTTGTCCTTCTCCGATTGACTTACTTCACTCAGCATAATACCCTCCAGTTCCATCCACGTTGAAGCAAATGGTGGGTATTTGTCATTTCTAATGGCTGAGTAATATTCCATTGTATACATAAACCACATCTCCTTTATCCATTCATCTTTCCATGGATACCGAGGCTCCTTCCACAGTTTGGCTATTGTGGACATTGCTGCTATGAACATTGGGATGCAGGTGTCCCCGCGTTTCATTGCATCTGTATGTTTGGGGTAAATCCCCAGCAGGGCAGATCTATTTTTAACTCTTTGAGGAACCTCCACACAATTTTTCAGAGTGGCTGCACCAGTTCACATTCCCACCAACAGTGCAAGAGGGTTCCCCTTTCTCCACATTCTCTCCAACATTTGTTGTTTCCTGCCTTGTTAATTTTCCCCATTCTCACTGGTGTGAGGTGGTATCTCAGTGTGGTTTTGATTTGTATTTCCCTGATGGCCACTGATGTGGAGCATTTTCT